TTGTTGTATTTACAATCTCTTTATTATGAGAGTTTAACATGTTCTTTCTATAAGATAGTTATGGTTTGATTTTTCAATTTGGGTTTCTATCTTCTATTAATATTGGGTTTTGTATGAATTGTTTCATTAGTTTCTATAAGATATTTTTCCTTTATATTAATATTTGATTTTAAATCTTTCAAATGAACAATATCTTTTGTTTTCTTTAAAGATCATTATCTGATTTATGAGTATTAGAAAAATTAATCTTTATTTGATTTTTTGCATTTTAATTATCTGATTTATTAGTAAGAAAATAATTGAAATAGTACTAGTCAACGAAATTAATACATAACTATATAAAACAAAACAAAAAATCACAAAATATAGATTGGAAACAAAATCAATGTTTGCGTGAGTTTGAATGATCTACTAAAAGAACATCCTTAGAAACGGGCTATAAAACAGATTTTAGGACAACACAACAAAGTGTTATATTCCTTGATAATACAACGAAAATGAATTGCAAAATTGGATTCATGAGCTTCATCGTGATTACTCTGATAATCTCCATCTTTCTTTCGGTTCCAGGTTAGATTGTATATGAGTTGTGAATCTCGTTTTGGCTATATTTTAATAACAAGTTATTAGAAATATTAATATTTTATTGTGATGTATTGAGTGAAATGTAGAGAACGTAGAAGCGCAAAGAGAATGTCTTGGACCATGTGATCTGCTTAGAAGGAGCTGTGCGGAATCTTGCATCAGTAAAGGATATAAAGTTGGCCAATGTGTTGGCTGGCACGATGACGATCCTTATATCTGTTGTTGCACCTAAATAAACATCATAACTAATCATTGCATTTTGCATATCTAAATGTTTTGAAAATCGTTAACAACAATTAATAATATCTGGATCGAATAATGTCGTAAATCCTCAATGGTAACACTTTTGGGTATAAAGTTGAAGATAAAAATTACGTCTTCATGGAAAACAAAGTAAAAAAATTGAGAACAGGAAAAAAAAACAGGATTAATCAAATTAGTTTAAATGGGGTTTGTATTTAAGGAGAAGCAATCACATGATCGTTTGGCCAAAAAAATCACATGACTCAAAAACAGAGCTTTCTTCTTCAAAAGCACACTTCCATCTTTTGCACTCTCTCTCATGTGCTTCTTGTCTCTTCACTGTTTCCATTTTAAGTTGAACATGTCCCTACAACATTCACTTCCTTTAGTTCTCAATCCAATCACACTACTTTACTATTGATTCCTTTTGGAGTAAGGAACACAACCAAAGTACTTAGCTTTCATTTAGTACTTAAAAGATTACTAAAGCAAGATAACGACTAAGAAACAACTTTATATCAATGGAGGAGAATTATACAACTTTATATTACACTTGAAACCGTTTAAATTAGGCCTCCACATCCAATAGGAAGTGTACATCGCAATAACCCCAAAAGTTATAAAAACAAAAAAACAGAGTGCCTGAGATCGGTAAACTTGTCGACTTATGTAAAACCAAAAAAAAATCGGAATTTGATACTTAACATCTGCGACCGGCTCTGCAGTTAAAGAGCACCCGAGTAAGAGGTCATGGTGCCGACGAGTGATGATGATTTCGCCGATAAACTTGAAGCTCTGGCGTATCCGGCACCAGCTCCAGCTCCAGAAGGTGTGAAAAATGCTCCATTTAGGAAAATATCTCCTTCTGATCTCCAATTCCAGTGCTTCCATTTCGATTGCCCTGTGTACTCCCTCTTGGTCACCTGCCATAATTCCACAATTTCACCAATCATCAATCTCATTGCATTTATCGTGTTAGAAAGATCATCACGTCTAACTCTAATCGTAATAAGACCTCTTCCTCTTGGAAAGTGAGGGATTATACACTATGAATATGGTTCCTTTGAATCAAGTGATAGTCAAAAGAATTGGAAATAATTATGAGTACGTCTTGCGTGTATCTTTTTACATTGGCAACAAAA